CCTGGTGGTCGACCGGGTAACCTGCTCGACGAGTTGTCAAGGTCGCGATGGCGAAGGCGACTTCGGGCTGGTATCCCGAAGTCGATGTGGCTCGTCAGGCGCAGACAACAGCCGACGGATGCACAACGATGCAAGTCAGGCCAATCGTCTGCGCGCACCTGCGAGCGTGCGCACTGCTGGACAGCCGCGCTGCTGCAGCGTTGGCGCGCCGTGCAGGTCGCTCTTCTGCAGTGCTGGCGCGGCTCCTCTACGCAACGCTGGCAGGCGGTCGACCATGCGGTGCTGGCGGTCGACCAGGCTAGCTGCAGAGTTGCTAGGTGCCTGATGTAGTCATTCTGTCATTGCTTGTTCTATCATTCTGTAAATCCCAACTTTGCTAGTGGAAACTCTTGCCAATTTCTCCCGTGAATGTGCAAGCACTAAGGAACCAAGCAAAGCTACGATCACTCCTAGTAGTTCGTGCCAATCCCTCCTCGTAGTCTAGCTCACGACCATTGTAGAGTGAATCTCCGCATCGGTGACACAGCAAAGAGTGCGAGGGGAGAGCTTGCCCGCGGTAGAATCGCAGTCAGGGGCAAGCGAACCCCAGACCCGATACGCCGACACATCACCAACCTCCCCCGTCCTAAGCAGGGTAGGCAAGGTCTCCGGCTGAGAGACACGGGGCCTGATGTTGAGCTGATGCACGCCGTATCGGACTGTAAACGGCCACATAAAATGGAGCGCATGTGTCACAGGATCGAATTCTCAATCGAAACTCGTCACTAAAATTGAGTGCAAGGCGTTTTTATACTCGGAAATTACAAGGATGAACGAGACAAAACGAACATTCGGGAACACACCCTTCCCGATACTACAATCACAAGTGCGCACAAGCACGCAAGGCTATTGGCACTTGGGATTACGCCCAGATTACACCGTATACACCACTGTCGGCGCTGTCGGTGCCGTATAATAAATATGTCGGTGGGAAAAATCGGAAATAAGTGAAACAATGAGAAGGCTCTAGAAAATAGAATAGTAGGCCGATTGAGATGAAATAAAGACCAAAATAAAGAGGAGAAAAAGGAGAATAAGATAAAGGAAAAATATAATAATGAGAAAATATTATAACGGGGACGTCCTCTCACACTTCCCCCCCTCAAAGCTGGGTGGTAGAAGTAACACCCTGCTTGACAAGGTAGTCCTGGAGAGGACGACGGGCGTTATCCATGTCGTGTTCAAATACCCAGCTATCCTCGGAAGGATCATAGCCTTTCCAACGAATCAAGAGCTCCAAGGTGCCGTTAAGTCATCGTCGGTGCGCCAGAACAGCTTCGACTTCATACTCAAGTTCCCCATTAACGATCACTGGCAGTGGCGGCAGCGGTTGGCGACCTTTAAAGACTGTGTTCAGGTCCCGATAAGGCTTGAAAATTTGAACATGGAAGGAATTGTGTTCCAGGTAGCGGGTAAACGCAAGCAGAAAGTTACTGGAGTAACCTGCCCCTCGACGAGGAAAGGTCCGCAGAAGCGAGGTCGGAGCTTAGACGGAAGATGGCTGATGTCGAGATTGCGTGTATCCAGAAGCACTTGATCGCCGATCTTGATGGCATGATCGTTGCGACTCCGATCAGCGAGCTTCTTTTGCTGCTGCTTCTTTTGAGCACTCCCATAACTGGTGCATAGTGGTAATGAAGTCATGTGCGGGTTGCACCGTGGTGGGCACTGTCGGTTTCTGAGGTGTGAGCGGGTTGCGACCGTAACAGAGGAAGAAAGGGGTCTGTCCTGTTGCGGCGTGTGTAGCGTTGTTGTACGCAAACTCGAGAACCGGCAGGTGCGCATCCCATTTGGAGATGTCGTCTTTACAAGCTGCTCGCACAAGCTGTTCAACAATCTGGTTGAGGCGCTCCGTCTGACCGTCCGTTTGGGGATGATAGGCTGATGACATGGCGAGTTTGGTCCCCATGAGCGACATGAGCTCCTTCCAGAATTTACTCGTGAATTTTGGATCTCTGTCGGAGATCTCTCTCATGCTCTCCGGAATTTTTTTTAACTTTAACGAATTCTGTTTTTTTCCGGGGTCGAATTCGAGAGTTCCCGTCTTGGTCGAGTCTGTTTTCGCGGAGGTTTTCTTTTCCTCGGCGAATCCCTCTGACAAATTTCTGTCAAGAGCTTGGGATTTCGCCCTTGATTCTCCAAATCTCGCGCCCAATGCTGCCCTTCGATTTCGATTTGGTCAAGATTGCGCTGACGCTTTCGGATCTGCTTTTCCTCGCCAGCACGATCCGAGATTACTGGCGAGATCCGTTTTTTGACTTTTTGTCTTTAGTGTCGTCACTCCCTCGAGCTCAGAAGGCCGCACGTGCAGATTTCATGTGAAAACAGTCGACGAGTCGATGTCCTTTTGCGCCGCAAAAATCGCAATTCAATTTGTTTTTTGCCGAGCGCGAATTGGCGTCGATTTTGTCGACTTCCATGGGGTCGGCGAACGTGGTTGAAGCCGAGCGATCCCCGTATCGTGATCCGTCGACGTGGGGTCGTCGTGTTCCGCTGTTGACCAAGTCAAATCGCTCCACGGCCGATACGATTTCGCTGTAGCTGCTGCAATTCGCTGCTGCAACCTGGCGACGAATGTCGCTTTTCAGCCCAGCGATGTAGGACTGAATTTTTCACCCTCGGTGATGTCAGGAATGCGGTTATAAAATTCTTCCATCTGCTGCGTGTATTGCGCGACACTCCCGTATTGCCGGTGATGATGTAATTTTTCGCGCGCAATGTAGGTTGAATTAATCGGCTCAAAACGTTTGAGCAGGTCTGCCCGGAACTGCTGCCACGTGGCTTCGCCCTGGAAAATGCTACTGTTGCTTCCGAGCCACTCAAGAGCTGGACCGCGCATCAATGTTGTCGCGAGACGAATTTTCTCGCCGTCGTACTCCGTCGTCGACCATCCGATCGCCGCGAAATAAATTTCGATCGTTGCGAGCCATCGCCTGACGTCGGATTTCCGATCGCTGGGGTCGAACGATTCCGGCGAGCGAAGTTCCGGAACCTCAAAGTGACGTTGCGACTGCTGCGAAGTCGCTGAAGCAGGAATGTTCATGGTTGTGAGGAGTTGCGTAACGCGCTATAGTTCGTTTCGCAGCTGCTCGTTCTCCAGTCGTGACTGTTCGGTCGCTGCTCGCATCTCCGCTTCCATCTTGGCGATTTGCGCGAAGATCTGCTGTGTAACGTCGTTGGTCGCTGGCGAACCCATCCTGTTCAGAAACCACGCGAGGGGGTTAATTCGAAATCGCGGAACTGGTGCTTACCAGAAATCGGCGTCGAATTGGTCGCCCCCGGCGGTTTTTCGAGGCGATTTTTTCTGCGACCGCTTCTTAGCCGAGAGTTGTCGAGTGAGAACGGCTCTGATTACCAAGTGTCACAGGATCGAATTCTCAATCGAAACGTGTCACTAAAATTTATTACAAGGCATTTTTATACTCGGAAATTACAAGCACAAATGAGATAAAACGAACATTCAAGAACACACCCTTCCCGATACTAGAATCACAAGTGCGAACAAGCACGCAAGGCTATTGGCACTTGGGATTACGCCCAGATTACACCGTATACACCACTGTCGGCGCTGTCGGTGCCGTATAATAAATATGTCGGTAAGAAAAATAGGAAATAAGTGAAATAAAGAGAAGGCTCTAGAAAATAGAATAGTAGGCCGATTGAGATGAAATAAAGACCAAAATAAAGAGGAGAAAAAAAAAGAGAATAAGATAAAGGAAAATATAATAATCAGAAAATATGATAGCGGGGACGTCCTCTTACACCGATACTACAATCACAAGTGCGCACAAGCACGCAAGGCTATTGGCACTTGGGATTACGCCCAGATTACACCGTATACACCACTGTCGGCGCTGTCGGTGCCGTATAATAAATATATCGATAGGAAAAATAGGTTATAAGTGAAATAAAGAGAAGGCTATAGAAAGTAGAATAGTAGGCGATTGAGATGAAACAAATACCAAAATAAAGAGGAGAAAAAGGAGAATAAGATAAAGGAAAATATAATAATGAGAACATATTATTACGGGAACGTCCTCCCACAGTATGGATCATGGAGATGGAAACAACCTCCATGATCAAGCCAATGCGGCGCTCAGCAATCCCATTCTGCTGTGGAGAGTCCGGAAGCGTGAACGACTGGGTGATACCCTCCGCACCACAAAAGTCCTCAAGAAGGCAAGAGGAAAACTCACCACCTCGGTCAGAGTGCAGCCGCAGGACCTGGAGGTTCTGGCGGAACCGTGTGCTCAGTTGGCGACGAACAACATGAATCCAGGGGATCAATACACTTTGGATATCCGCCTTGCTGCGCAAGGGGAAGACCGTGGTGTAGTGCGTGAAGTCGTCAACAACCAGCAGAAAGTAGTGCCCTTGGTCATGTCCACTAACGCGGGCAGGGCACCACACGTCCATGTGGAGCGTCTGCAGATGAGCAGTGGTTGTAGGAAATCAGGAGGAGTGAGGAGCAGGGCTAATATTTGGTTTTGAGCTACCCTTGTGATCAGTGTTATACAAGTTCAAAATCTTGATTATTAGAGTGACACCTTGTTCAAACTCTGATCTATCAGTGTTTTTCTTGTTTTTTGAAAATTCAACTCTGTGACATCAGTGTACCAGTTTGGCAAACCCTGGTGAATTGATTTTATCGTTGCAAACAATAAAAATTTTAGTCATCATCATCAGACATGCCACATGGGTGTTGCTCGTCGTCATTTTCTTCTGCAGGCTCTGGAATTTTTTCCTTCCCCTTCCGGTCCAAAGAAGTCGCATGCGCAACAGATTTCGCCGGCCTTTTGGTTTTCTGCTTGCGCCAGATGTCCACCACATCTGGCCAGACATATGGGTACTTGAGCATGTGCAGCGTCATGAGGTCGCCAAGGCGTGCATCGTACAGCGATGTACACAAGGGGTGGTTGGTTGTTGGCTAGTGTTGTAGTGCCACAAGTGCGCAAGCCGAATCAAGCGCATGTACTAAATCTAATCTCACATGGAAGCATGCCGCCAAACAGCTCATCGCTTGCTGCCAGCCACTCAAGGCTCTTCAACTCGCGCTGATCCTCCCTGGATGGCCAAGAATCCACTTGAAACAGCTTTGCGCCGCCCATCTGCTGCAAGTCCCACATGCGGTACTTCATACTGGCCACGATCTCCTTCGCGAAACCCGTGCACAACTTCACATAGTCACCAAGCGCGCCCCCAAACTTGTGCTTCTTGATGGGTGTCTCGCTCAGCTCGAAACGATGTGATGTCTGCCGCCCTTCCTCGTCAGTCCCTTCAACCACCATCGTCCGATTGTCCCCACCGTGTTCTTTGATGAATCGGGACACCAGCTTGCTGACCCCGCCTCCGAATGTCTCGCCGTACTGGATGTACCGGTGCATCATGATGGTGATCGTGCGGTCAACTTCTTTGGCGACTTGTGTGATGTCCACCTATACAACAGCGGGCATGTCAAACATGTTAGCAATAGAAAAATACAAGTAGAAATTCTTCTTCAAAGTTAAGTACACACTTGCCTTGCGGTGCTGGAAAAAACGGTTGAGCGCGTTAAGCTCGGCAAGAATGTCTGCGAGGAAGTACTTGGCGACCGTTGCGACCGAATTCAGCGTCGTCCTTGCCGTGCTCCATGCATATACTACATCGCAATATGGACAACCCCTCCTTGTTCTTATCAAGCAGCAGCCAATCAAACTTCGGAAGCGACTGCGTGATGTATAGCTGATGCGCCTTCAAAAATCTCTCCTCTGCCTTTTCGGCTTGGGTGAGTTTACGAGACACACACGAGGGAGCTTGGACGGGAGCCGGAGGCAGAGTCGGCTTCGCAGGGGGCATGCCGAATGGGAGTACGGCTTGCGCGAAGCGACTCCTCTTCTTTGAGGCAGCAGACGAAGACTCCCCGACCTCTTTCACGCTGACAGTGGCGGGGCCACTATCCGTCGCGATGGCACTATCCGTCGCGATGGCATTGGAACCAGTAGGACGAGCAGGAGGCAGCTTTCCGCCGCTGCACGATGACGGGCCAGCAGTGCAGAAAGGCGGAGGGTTCACATGTACCCCACGCAGGAAATCTATGCCTCTCTGCGCGCGAGCGTCGTTAGGTGGCTTGTCAGCAGCTTCTCCTACATCGTTGTCCTGTCTCTGCGCCATGGCTGCTGGAGTGTATCAAGAGAAACGGCTACCTCAGTTGGAAAGCCCAAATGAGAGGTCTCTCGTTACCAAAGGTGAGACCACAAACGTGTTGGTGTCCCCAGTCCCCAGCGCATATGTTTCATATCGTGCTGGTAAATGAAGTTCACAGCCACCCACAATCCAGCAAGGAAGGCGATGCCGAGTGGGGTAGTGGGCACCGACTTTCCGCTGCACTAAGCCAGGTTTCCTGCTAACCCGGTCGTGTTGTCATTCCAGACAAACAGGCCAAGTTGAGTCAGTGGCGTTGTCTACAAAGAAACAGTATTTCTGGCCAATGGTGGCCCACTTCGTGCCAGCATATGTATGTCGAGGCTGAAATTCCAGTTTCTCCAGTTGGCAATCAGGAATCCCGGGTTACAGGAAAGGGGGGGTGGGGGAAGTGGGGGGGGGGGGGGGGGGGGGGGGGGGGGGGGGGGGGGGGGGGGGGTACTCACTTCAAGGTAAAACTCGTTATGAATAACGGTAACCCTGAAACATCAGTGTGCCTAAAATGTAAACCCTGACATATCAGGAAAGTCCTAGCTCCACAAAAAATAACCCTAGGCCACCAGTGTGACTACCTAAAACCACCCTGATAATCAGGGTATCAAGGTGATTTACACTGATAAAATTAGCCCTGGTGAGGAGCGGCGCGCTGCCGTCCCTCGACGCAGGGAAGGCACGGCGGTGCAAGCGACCAAGGAAACGGGGACAGGGACCTGGGGAGGCCAAAGACAAGGGGACGGAAGTGCATGCTGCGCAGATGCGGCAGGGAGGGGTGACTAAGACAGTGGTGCCAGAGGAGAGACGGGTGCGTGAACAACCGACACGAGCAAGACGCAACTACCTGCCAGACGCGGCTACCTGTGCTGATTCAGTGGTAAGGGTGTACAGGCCAGACCCAGGCAAGGCGAGGTGGGCGCCAGTCACCAAGTCCGTACAGATCGCCACTAGCTCGCCCCCAGGAGTGGTGGTAGTGGCCAAATGATTCTGGAGGACAGAGTTACTCACCAATTCCGTACCCCACAAGGGGAGGTGGAGACCTGTGAGGGAACTAGAGGGGAAAGCCCGACAGGGATGAACAGTAGAGCCACATGCGACGACCGGACCGGTGGAGGGTTCAGCAAGAGTGACGGGGACAGGTGCCAAGAGTGGTGTGACTGTGGTGTAGTCAAGGAAGAATCAGCGAGACGCGCCTGAGTCCAGCATGAAGGTGAGCAAAGCCTCCGCCGGAACTGCACCTGCGCTAGCAGACTCACAAGCACCTAGACTAGCAGCCTCTACACCACCAGGGACGCGTCGCTAAAATACCAACTCCCGAAGCTACTGCGGTGAGAGGGTCTACTGCTGACGCTGCTGCCGCTGCTGTCCACCCCAAGAACCCCCGCATCCACCAGCGGCAGCACCTGTACGAGAAGACTCACAGGTACCTACACTCGCCTCCTCGACCAGCTGCTGCACCTCCTTTACCAACGGACGCCGCTGCCGCAGTGGTCGGGTGGCAGGAGAGAGGGAGGAGTAGTGGCTAACCACAGCATCAAAAAATGTGTAGGCCGGCGTCACCTGACAAAGGTGGGCCCTCTGGTTGACCGGCAGGTGAGTGCAGACAGCGTCGCGCTCCGTCCACCGTATGCAGGCAACGTTGTCCGCCCGGTACCGCCACTGCACATGCTCGCCAGCGTCAGCAGCAGGCTTGGTGGGAGTCGTGGGTGCCTGAACGGACCCCGGCATGTGCTCGAACAGAGAGACGCCATCTCAAATGAAACGCCGAAGATACAGGCACAGTCATACAAGCCACAACTCTAACTTGAAAGGGCGCCTGTCTGCGTCCACCGCTAGGACAGTGATGGTGGCCATGATAGGCAACGGCAGTCAGCAGTAGGGCGTGGAGGTAGTAGAGTGCCCGAGCAGCAGGGCGCACAGGCAGCAGGGGCGCGCAGGCAGCGGGCGGCAGCGAGGGCGGCAGTAGCTGGCGGCAGCGCCTAGGGCGGCAGCGGCAGTTGGTGGCAGCACTTAGGGCGGTAGCGGCAGCACCTAGGGTGGCAGCGGCAGATGGCAGCAGCACGTAGGGCAGCAGCACCTAGGGTGGCAGCTAGCGGCAGCACCTGGGCAGTAGTGGCTGACGGCAGCAGCAAGGGCAGCAACGTTAGTCGCGCGCGGGCAGCGCGGGCAGGGCAGGAAACTGGTAGCGGCAGGGTTTAGCGGCAGTAGCGGCGACAGTAGGGGCTAAACCCGGGCGGCGGTAGCAGGTGCTGTAACAGCAGCAACAGGTCTGTAGCAGCAGCAGCAGGGGCAGTAGCGGTGACAGTAGGGGCTGTAGCGGCGGTAGCAGGTGCTGTAGCGGCAGCAGCAGGTCTGTAGCGGCAGAAACAGGGGCTGTAGTGGCGCTAGCAGGGGCTGTAGTAGCGGCAGCAGGGGCTGTAGCAGCAGTAGCAGGTGCTGCAGCAGCAGCAGCAGCAGGGCTGTAGCGGTAGCAGCATGGCTGTAGCATCAGCAGCATGGGTCGTAGCGGCAACAGTAGGGGCTGTAGCGGCGGTAGCAGGTGCTGTAGAGGCAGCAGAAGGGCTGTAGCGGCGGCAGCAGTGGCTGTAGCAGCGGTAGCAGGTGCTGTAGCGGCAGCAGCAGGCTGTAGCGTCAGCAGCAGGGGCTGTAGCGGCGCTAGAAAGAGCTGTAGTGGCAGCAGTAGGGGCTGTAGCAGCGCTACCAGGGGTCGTAGCGGCGGCGTGGCTGCGGCAAGGGCGGCGCGTAGCAGAGGCAGGGCAGCGGGGCAGCGTGGGTCGCATCACGCTGGGCAATGGGTCAACTAGGCAGCGGGGGGCGCGCGTCACACGCAGGGCAGTGGGGCAGTGTCGCACGGGGCAGCGGGGCCATGGGGCAGTGGGGGCGAGCGTCGTGCGCAAGGTAGCGGGGCAGCCGCGACTGGACAAGGGGGGGGATGGGGTCGCGATCGGGTGGGGCGCAAGGCGGGGGGGGGGGGGGGGGGGGGGGGGGGGGGGGGGGGGTGTCACGATGCGGGCATCGAAAATAGCGCGCTACGGGCAGCTAAAAAAATCCAGGCAGGCTAGGACCTAGGCTCTTAATACCATGTTAAAACCCGAGGTCCAAGCGTTTCAAACTTAGGAAGGTTGCTTTTGGCAAAAAACGTGACTGGCTCGCTAGCCAGGGTGGTGTCGAAATCGGTGGTCGCGGGTCGCAAAGTTTGAAAAATATTGCGAGTGTAACCAGATCTGGAATGCAACATCAGAACTCGTTTGTAGGCTGTTTCGCCCGGGCTTCAAATATGTTTTCGAAATCGTCACTGCGATCGTCCTCGCTAGTACAGTAATTTCACTTAGCAAAAATTGTCCAAACGATTTGCGGTGAGAGCTCCGTATCTACTTGGTCACACCCAACCAAAGTTAGGAACGTTGAGGCGCTTTTGGGCTGTTTGGGACTCCGGTTTTAAGATGCTAAGGAAGGATGGTTGATTAGGTCAAGGGAAGGGGTACAAAAGGGGATGTCCAGCAAGTTTGTGTACCCCCTAAAGACTACCCCCAATGTAGCCTAGAGAAACATGAAAGCGTATGTTTTGACAGTTTTCAATATTGCAAGAGATGCAAGATGATATAGAATGGAAAGGTGGCAGAGGGAGGTACACACCACCAATAGACAAGAAACCTAACATGAGACTACAATACTAGTTTACATGCTGTTATATAAGGTTGTAATGTAACTCTAAGAGCCTGCCTGATCCTACGGTGTGGGGGATTACGGCATTTGGCTGATGAGAGAAAAGAAAACGGATATAGCGCTAAGTGGCAGCAGATTCATGGCCTCATCATCATTACAACTTCCGAATGTTAAAGCAAGGATGCACTTGGGGGGGGGTGGAGGCAAAGGTTTGTCACTTGCCTCTGGATAGTTACCAGGTTTGTTGTATGGCATGGGAGGCGAAAAAATATTTGCCCCAACCCCTGTGGAGAGTGACGAGGTGTTCCCCTTGCCAGTTGTGCGCGAAGGAAACAGGGTTGGGAACTTGCAAGTACCGCACTGGAGTTTTGTGTACCAAAACTCACTCCACAACCCAACCACAAAAGCAGAGGGCTCGCCAATGACCTCGTATTAGCCGTAGGAAGTGCGTCCCAATAGTCTAGAGCATCTCGCTATCCGTCAATATAGACGGAGAGATTGCCACGAGCTCAAATGTTGCAGTTCGTCGCTGGCCGATAACTCGCCATTCAAGTCATCATTCGTCGGCGTGTTGGCGCCATTTTTCGTCTTACAATCGTCGCATTTCCGCATCGCCTTCCACTCGCAGCGCGAAGCTCGACTGTCCGCTGGTCACCGCGTGTCGCTGCTCACTCGGCGACGGTCGCCGCAGAATTGACGTTGCTTGTTGCTCGTTGCAACCAGCGCGTTGCTCTCCGCTTGCTCGCTGCATCCTGCTCCCTGATTTCAGCTCAACACATTCGCTCCCGCTTTCCTTTCCCCGCTTTCAGCGTTGCCACTCGTGCGGTTCCACTCGATGCTCGTCGTTTCCCCTGCTTTGCTCCGTTTTGCAGACTTGGGCTGCGATTATGCAGGAGGCGTGGAAGGAGGGAGCAGCGGTTTAGTGCAAGGCGTGGACGGGAGGTAGCAGCATATTTGCGCAAGGGGCAGACGGGAGCAAGGAGCAATTTTGCGCGCGTGGCGGACTGGAGTGAAGAGCGACGGGGAGGGGGAGGGTGTGAGGGGGACAGAAGGAGCCGCTTCCACCTGCTTCCCCATCGCCCTTGCCTTCCCCCTCCCGTCGCCCTCGCCTTCCTCCTCCCGTCGCCCTCGCCTTCACCCTCCCAAGGAGAGAGGAGGACAAGGGGGAGAGAGGAGGCTATCCACAGGTGAGGCAATGATCTGGCGGCGATGAGGAGTCGAGGCGGGGAGGCAGGATGGGGCAGCGATTACTTGCTGAGGAGGCCAGGCAGCGTCGTGGCGCCCCTGGCATTGTCACCTGCCGTCTTAGT